TGAGCTGCCAAATGTTTTTTGGGTAGACTTTCTTTTGCATGATTTTTGCTCCCTACATTTTTCTTCTCTCTCTCTAAATTCTCTAGGGTGGCATGCCACCTCTAGAAAAATACTTCTCTCTCTTGAAAGTCTCATCTCTCTAAAGAGAGATAAGAGACACCCCCCATAAGAGAACATAGAGGTAGGCATGCCCCACTAATAAAACATCCAAAGGCATTTATGCATTGGCTCGATCAAATAATTCTTGCTCTCATATTTTTCTGAAGGGGTTTAGCGAGGGCTTTCTCATATTTGGAAGATCCGAGATTGGGTATTGAGCACGTCCGCTATTGGAGGAAGAGATCTTGTATGGGGTGTACTATGTCCGGTTGAGGTAATCTTCTAGCATCTTGCTTTATAGTTTGCAGTATTTTATTTATTATTCCTATAAAATATTACATTGGTTTTATTCAACAAAAGAAAGTTGTAAATAGAAGCAGCAAGTGAGAACTGATTTATTTATTTATTCTATTAGTTTGAGTTGAATATATTGTTATTGGACCATTCTAAGTGTTCTAATTGGTGAGAAATAGAAAAATTAAAAATTGTATATACAGAGCTAGATCACCTTTGTCCAACGTTCTGCCATTTCTGAAATGGGGTAAAAATGGTGATGTTGATATCATAGTGAAAAATTATGCCTACAGTAAATCAAGGCATTTTTTTTAGGGTAATTTGTAAAATGCGTTTGTTTTAATTTATTTCGTTAAGGGAAAAAGTATAAAGTTCTGGTCTAATTTTAATTAGGAGTTCTAATTAGAATATAATTAACATTACGAGGTCTAAATAAAGTCCATAAATAGGGTTGAGTTAGGAGTTTTGTTGGGTTTTCGTGAACTCATGTGAGTTTTGCTAATTTGTTGGAGCTAGTGTTGTTAGTTTCAAATCAATTCATCACTTCCTTATAGAAACCTTCATGGTTTTTTTTTTTCTTTTCCTTTATTTTTATACAAATTCGCATATGAATCTTTGGAGCATATAATCTTTTCAAATTTAACATAAAAAGCTCTCAAAGAGAAGCTAAAACTGTCGTCCATCACCCAAAAATATGAAAATTGAAAATAACAAATCTTATGAGGCAGCATCTGTTCATGCTGATTTTCTTAACACAATCACAAAATCAGTCGGCTTGAGCTCATTGAATGATAGTTTTTTGTTGAATATATCAGCATATTTTAAGAACAAATCATCCATAATCTCAGGCCCAAAATGGTAGGTAATCATCGACTCAACTGCTGCTCTAATAGTCATGGCTATGTCTCTGCCGTGATGGCCACTAGATTTTTGGGAGCCCATCACTAAGTAATAACTCAAAGCGTTCGAACGCATGGATAATGTACGGGCAAATCAAAAGAATACAGTTTTTCCTCGTTCAACACTACCTGCAGTTTGTGACACTTCGTTTGAATTCATTTTCCAGAAGAAAATTTAAAGAATGATAGACTAAAAAGAGTCAAAAGAGAAGAAGAAACTTCACTTTCTTTATATATGTCTTTGGGATGCACCAGACAAATTAATTAAGGAAATTTATGTGACCCAAACCCTTTTTTGGAGTATTTTGATGCACTCCATAACCAACTTTTAAGAAAAATGATTTTAAGCATAAAATACGCGAGATCTAATGTTGATTAAAGTGGATGGTTCGAATAATATTCTGGAGTGAAACTTGATTTGGTAGACCTTTCGAGCTCCGAATTCAAATATACGTTTCCCGCACAAAGGTGAAAAATACGGCCAGCCGTCATATATTTCATCAGATGTACTCGAACCCGCCAAGTTTTACTTTGACTTTGAGGATGATTGATACTAGGAAAAAGTTTATATAAGTGCGAGGCTCTAAACAATCAAATCATGGTGCACTTCAAAAATTTTACTAGAAGAAGTTATTTTGATTCCAAATATCTTCAAAATTGATCTTCTCGATCTCGAGATGTATGAACATAAGAAAAAAATAAACAGATTTCAAGTTTGGAAAATAGTGCATCTTGTAATACAGTTTTGGACAGTCAATTTTCAAGTTTTCATAGATCTGCTCAATCTACACTATTTTTTAAGCTTTAAATTTTATAATTAGAGAGAAAAATATATATGTTAAGGCGATAACAAAGATTTCCATTATTGAAATCACATTTCTCAACACTATTTGAAGGTGTGCTTTACTTTGATTGTCTAGAACCTCTGCCTTTTACGAACCGGGCCCTTAATAATCTGTGTATTATAAAGTTAGTTACATAATAAAAATTTGGGTGCTTTATTTTGGGTTTTCACCTGCAAGGCCTCACCAAGTGCCTCCCAAATGAAGACGCCCTTTTTGTCATTAAGAACGCCATCACGTTTTGGGAATATTAATAGCAATCGACCACCCATGAGTAGCTCTTTCGATCGGCAACTCAGAAAAGACGACGAGTCCTCTTGAAATTGCAGGGAGTAGGATTGTGCAACACATGAAGTGCTGGTTTCCGATATGTATACCTTCCCTCTATTAAATGAGAAACCCTCCTCATCATAGAGGCTGTCTGGAACCTGCACGGTCTTATGTGCTCTTTACTTATTTTTCTAAATCAGCAAAAACAAGGAAAAATATTGTAGCAATCTTACCAGTACAAGTAAGGTTGAGTAATGCATACTGTCTTTTTTATTTGGACAGTGTAGATGTAATACTGTCTTAAAAGATATTTCACTTTTGAGTGGTTTACGTATAGACCCTAGAATTTTAGGTAAAATGTAAAATGATCTACTTTTATGTGGAAATTACAAAAATAGTTGGTCAACCCACTTTTTTTTTAATTTTTTCAAAATCCCCCTTGATCAACCTAAATTTTAATATTTTTTTAGTTTTTTCATAAGTAGGGAAGTGCCCCAATCTTTAAGGCACTGCTCTACTAATACAAAAACTAAATAATAATAACAATCAAAATTCAGGTTAACCAAGGGACAGTTTTGAAAAAAAAAAAAATGCGCTAACCAACCTTCTTTGTAATGTCCGCATATAAGTGGAGCATTTCGCATTTTACATGTAAATCACTCTTTACTTCTTGATAATAGCTTAAAAAATGTATCAAATTTATACTGTCCAATTAAAATGAAACCATGTATAACATTGCAACTTTACAAGAAACAAAAAAAACGGTGGGCAACCATGAGGAAAGGTATTTTTAGTTATAATCAAGTTGAAGAGCACTCAAATTTTTGCCAATAGAGAACAAATAGATCTATTTCTCTTGTATCTGTTAGGGCAAACCGTGGCCTTTGACCTGTCATGGCATAAAGTCTTCGCTTCTATAGAAAACTGTTTGCAAATAAATGTATCTTGAAAGCTGACACTTGCTTTTATTTCTTTTGAAGAAACTAAGATATTAGTGTTCAAAGAACCCGTAGCTCACATAATCTTTTTCTTTTAGATAAGTTCTTGATGAGACACTCGTGATCTAATCACTTGTATATAAAAAACATATTTCTTTTTGTATATTTTGTATTATTTTTTTTTTTTAAGACAATATGAACATGGGATTGTATACTATGAGACCATTTATCTTTAGTACAAAGAGGCCGCAATCACTTCTAATCATTAGATATCAAATTGGATGTCTTGGTGTGTGCAACCACCAGATATGAAATTTGACGAATAAAAACGTTTGTGGCCTCTTTTTATCGAAAGTAAATGGTCTGTTTATAATACATTTCCAATTATTATTCTCAATACTATATAAGACAATTCATGCAGCAATCGATCACGACAATGTAGATTCATGATAACAACATGATCATAAGGTTATTACCGTTTCATAAATCGACTGGATAGTGATGGAGGAAGGGCTTTCGCTAAATATGTCATTCGTTCATCCTTATGTCTATGTTGTTATCATAACCATGTGGATCATATTAAATTTTTTCATATTAAGAAAACCCGGTATTGTACCAGCATCATTAATTATCTAATCTCAACAACTCTTTGAAATATAAAAATTAAGGTAGAATGAATTGTGAATGGTTTATTTAATAAAAATGTGGTTGATTTATAATAAAAAAAATGTTTTATATTGGTAACTCAGCACATATGGAATTATGAAAAATGAGTGCCTTTCTCATGTTAGGAAGAACACAATGTAGAAACTATCGCTAATGAACAGAACAAGATTCACCTTCGAGACATCGTTGTGATTCTCTGAAATTTCAAAAATACTCTTACTTGATAATCAAACTAACTATTACAAGAAACTTGTTTAGGGAAAGTAATGATTTGTTAATAAGGAAAAAGTTTATATAAGGTGTCAACCTTACCTTCTAATGTACAAATAAGGTGCAGCTAAAAAATCCAATGGACAAGCTTGATTCTGACACTAAAAAACTCTCAAATTGATCATCTCAACTTCGATATTTATGAATATTAATAATAAGCTCAAATCCTTAAAATAGTTCTTTTTTTAGTACATTATCTGAATCATCTATTTTCAAGAATTTCAAATGTGTATAGATAAGCTTCATCATCGCTATGTGCTTCTGTGGGAGCATATTGTACATTCATTTTTATAGATAAACCTGATCTGTGAGTATTTTTATGATCCTATACGTTAGAAAACATTGTGCAAGAATTGAACGGTCCAATCTAAGCGTTTAGAAACTCAAAATTAAATTTTTTTTCAATACTTTTCTAGTGATTTTAAAGTGGATCGTAGAATTTAAAAGAAAGAAAAGCTTCCTAAGTAGGTCTTTTAAAGGGAGCAAGTACATAGTGCTATTAGTGTGAAGAGCACTACGTTCTCATGCTCTACGCTCTACTTCCAACTGAGGTTTGTGGAGAGAAATGATCAAATTTGATAAGTTTGGTTCGCGTGAAAATATTTTCAAAAAAAGAGAATATAAAAATGGAGACTCAAATCATATACAAAAAGATCATAAAATATTCGATCATTTGCTATTTTTTTTTATATTTTTTTTGAAAGTTTTTATTTCTCCAATTTGTATACCCAACTCAAGTCACAGCACACTGAAAGGAAAATATTGTTGTGGCTAGTGAACTTGAGCTTGCCTTAGAGAGCCATTGCAGGGAATAAGAAGAGTGAACAAAATGCAAACTGTTTGCCGGAAAGAGCCTCCGATAGAAAGAACCCGGAACACCTGCCACGAAACATGAATCACAAACCCTTTCTTCTTTCTCTTTCATCAACTCATAGAAAGAAGGCAGTTGCCTAAAGACTGAGTTGAAGTCATTTGCAGGCAAGTCGTTGAGATACACTTGAAAACTCTGGAATTTTCCTAGAAACTTCTTGATATCTCAGACAGATAGCGTGGATGATGGTGTTTAAGACAGAGAAGGTGTTGGGTCCAGAGGAACAACCCATATCAGCTATCCGAATGATATTAGGAAAATCAGTAGAAAGCATTTTAATGGCTGCCTCTTGTGTTATGGGCATCACGTTATCCAAACATTGTTTCTGCATAGAAAGAAAAAAAAAGGCTGCGGAAAAAATAATTTTCATATGGACATAGTAAGGAGAGTGGCAATCTGTGTGTTTGTGCTGATGGATTTGAAGATGTAAACTTATGAAGAAATAGGTAAATAACTTTTAAAACAAGCATCTGTGGTGAAGAATGGTTACCTGAATGTGCGAATTTTGGGCGTAGCTATATTCCCCAGTTCCCCTGTTCATGTGAAAGACTTTTTCCAGATCCATGGCTACTTCATGGACTCTTTCAACCCCCCCCCCCCATCTTATACGAAATTGAGCATTGTTTCTCACTAAACCGGCCTTTTCTTTCTCATCTTCTTCAAATCAGGGTTTAGAACAAGTTAAAGAGCCAAGTCAAAGCTAAAGAGAACTTTAAAAACTCCAAATAAGCTTAGCTCAAAGACGTATAGAAAAAAAAGAAGACATTTAAAAATAATCTAAAAAATATATAAAAATAAGGATTATATCATAAAAAAAAATATTGGTATGGTGATGCAAAATCTCCTCCTATAAAAAATAACCTTTATAGGAGCAGATACATCACACACAAAACTTGGCCCTAAGTGAACTTCAATGCGGGAATAACAATGAGAGGAAGGAAGGACTACACAAGGATGGGCTTACATAAATTGTTAGAAGCATGATAAAAAATTACACCATGTCATAAAAATGAGGCACCAGAAACCATTGACAACACACATGAAGATGGAGCAAGAAGGAACTATTTACTTACTGTTTTGACGGATTTACAGCAGCATGGAGATGCCCATAGCTAACGTTCATCGGAGGATACTGTGTTGGTGTGCCAAGCTAGGGCTCCATGGTGAGGGCCATTACTCACTCTGACCCTCTCAATGAGTGTTAATATACAAAATGGGCTCTACAAGTGTGGGGCGTGCCTCTCTAGCTGTCCTTGTTTATCATGAATGAGGTGAGTTCATAAGAGTTATTGAGGTAGTTTTGTGCTTTTTTTATAGGAAGTTCAAGTGTGGATTTTAAGTTAAACTAAATCTGGATCATCCAATGAGCAATCCAAGGATTGAGAGAGCTAAAGACCTAACCGTATACATCACCGCACTTTCCTATTATTGGATGGTGTGGATCTATTACCTTATCATCATATGCCCCAATATCACCTCCAAATTTCCTAAATTTTTCACGTGCCCTTGAAACCCTAATATTTCATTTTAAACTATCTTATTGTTCGGTGGCACCCCCGCACTTGCACCCTTCATGTGCGCGTGTGTGAGCATGTGTTTGACACCGTGTGCCCATGCCGTGCATGCAGATAAGGTGTGATGCAATTGAAAACCAACGAATTTAAAGTGACGTATTGCCTACCTCGAAAATTGGGGTTGGATATATCCAGGCGTCTCGCCCTCTTAGATCTCGGTGTGGCATTGCCATAGAAGGCCATCTGGGCACTCTCAGACTCAGTTTGGTTACCATCCCTTACGGTCTCTGCCGCCTCAGTTTCCTCTCGAATCACACATCGAATCTCACTAGATGTGTCCTATGTGTTCCTTGGTTTGGCTCGATTTAGTTAGGGTTGGTTTGGGTTGGTTCAAGTTTGGTTCGAGTTTGGTTCAAGTAGGTTCGGGTTTGGCTCAAGTGAGTTCAAGCTTGGTTTGGTGAGTGGGAACATGTGGGTCTCAAATGGGCTCGCATGCCTTGGGTTAGGCGGTGGGTTGGCTAGGTTCAAGGGTAGGCTAGACTAGTGGCTAGAGAGAGGGTATCCGACAATTCCGGCAGCACCTCCCCTAGGAAGTGGGTAGGCAATGAGCAAAGGGTACTAGTCTAGAGATAGGGTCAACCAATATCCGATAGAATTCCACCGGCAACTCCCCTAGGCTGTGGGTAGACAACAAACAAGGGTACTTGGCGAGTAGCCAAAGCACCTTGGAAAAATCCGCATAGGGTTCGTTGGGTCAAGAGCCCGGTGTTGGAAGAGCCACCTTCGGAGGCTAACCTAGACTAAATGGTTTAAATGAGGTATAGGGAGCATCAAAGGTGTGGTGTAGGATAGGGTGTAGGCTAAGGAATAGGATAGACTATAGTCTAATGAGTATGGTATGGTAGGAGTTAGGGGTGTATGGTATGGTATGGACTAGAGTGAAGTGTAGGATTAGATGTGGGGTATGGTGTAGGCTTGAGGGTAAGATATGGAGTAGGCTAGGTTTGGGAGGTGTGGTTATGTTAAGGTTCAACCATTGACTAAGTGTAGAGACTTAATCACGGTGGGGTAGCACTCAAATTAGGCTAACTAAAAATAGTTAACCTAGGGTTAGAGGCAAAAGGTCCAACGCTTTTTAGCCAAAATATTTCTCTCTCCTCTTTTCAAAGTACTAGAGTTTCGATAACACTCAAAGCAAAAGAGATTTATTCCCTTTTTCTAAGCCTTTCTTTAACCTTTCAAGCCTTTTCCAATCTCTTTAAAACTTACATGAGTTGGGGTAGAGCTACCCCTTTGAACTAAAGTGATCGCTCAAAACCCATAAGAAATGAGTGAAAATAAAAATTACAAAAATAAAGTGAAAATTTGAGTAAAGAAAAAAATGACCAAAAGACCCTGAACAAAACTAAAAATTGCCAAATAAGTCCTGTAAAAGGGCCTCTTCGCACCAACATGGCAATGGGTCTTAGTCCGTCTTCTCTAGCACTAGAACGGGTGATCTAACATTGGGAAAATGTAGATTGTCTCGAGGCGATCATTTTGATATGTGGTTTGCAAGCAACCATAGAGATTTCATGATATTCTTGATATTTTTGGGTTTCACGATTTTTATGCAAATGTTGCTTTTCTTCTTTGATCGATTGCTCTGGAAATGCCAAGTTTATTACGTTTATTTTGTTGGTAGATCGAAGGGGATGTCGACATGATCATTTTGAATAAAAAATAATATGAAATAACCTCTAATTAACCAAGTTGCGATCCCCACAAGTCGCTAGAAAACTACTTTTTTGTCATCTAAAAAATTGTGCCCACTTTCGAGCCTTGAATGAGCACCTTCCCAAACATTGATCATGACTTTTCTTACATGAAATCGAAGATAATCTAGTCTTGAATGAAATACACTATGTTCGAGCTTGATCCGACCATCAGATATCGAGTTATGGTCATTGGAGCATGAAGACGTCACACAAATTATATTTTGCATAAGATTGAACTTTTGCAGACTTCTCTCTAGAATCTTTTGATCCAGTTGTTGATCATGTGCATGGCTTATACCAAACGATTGTGCTCATCGAGGAGCACAACATACCCAAATTTTAGCTTGATTCGACTTGGGGATCATGAGATTCAATGGCACAAAGTTCACCACTTTTTGAGGAAGTGTAGCAAGATTTTGCCATTTATGGAAACTAGTTCATGTGAAATCCTGAATAGCATAGAAACCGCCCATATTTGTAAAGTGGGAATTAGGAAGGTTCTTTTGGATTGAAATTTGGGGGTTGGGGGTTTTTCGAACTTCTGAAGTCATTTGTGATGGTCTGGAGACCATATGAAGTCGATTTTCAAGAGTTTTATAGTATTGTGACTATCCTTGCTTGAAATTTCCACACAACAATTTAAATACACCATTTTTCCTCAAAATAAAATTTTTATTTTTTTAAAATCATAATAAATCATTTTTAATAATTTTTCATCAAAATAGAATAGTCTGATACTTCAAATAAATTTAATTTACAAAATTAGGATCCTTCAAGAGGTTAGGCTACATGGTATTCCACTGTACTAGTTCCAGAAACTCAGATTACTTTCTCAAATCAATTGAATTGGCCCATATTCCACATTCTCAAGCTGGGATATATTATTGGACTTGTCAAAGCTATCCCAATAAATGGTCCGGTCTCCATGTTTTTAGTAGATTTCTTACCTCATCAGAACGGCTTCTCAAATTACGAATTCTTACACACACATTGTGCAAAATATGTCAAGGATTTGGGCTTATGTCCTCTCAAAACCTAGTTTAGTCACACAGGGCTTCACACACAGAAATATCACAAATAACTTGGGATCAACTGATCCCTTATCAAATGCCTTGGTTCCCACCACATCTGGCGTTCTCTTATCGAGCATGACTAGAGGAAACCCTCAATTCTCTTAGTTCTCAACACATCCCAAAAACTTCGCCTCATGTATATGGGGTATTCAGGCCGTTTCATATCCCAGTCCCCACAAATTCTGATGGCCTTAGCATTCCTGGTCACTCCCACTATGGCTGAGAATTGTTTTGGCAAACACAAGGCTTTTAATGGCCATAATGCCAATGCAGAGGACATACAATTCTTTTACTATGTCGATGATATTATCAATTATGGTGAAGGTGAAGCCACCATTAATCTAATCAGGCAGCAACTTGTCTACTTTTCGAGATTAAAGATTTGGGATTCTTAAAATATTTTTAGGCCTAGAGTTTCTAATTCTCCTCTCAACTCAAATATTCAAAATATTCCGTTTCTCAAGCTTGTTTGGCTGATGATACAAAGCACGTTAACACACTTATTGAGTTGAATGTCAAACTTCAATCTACAGATGGTAAGGCCCTTCCTAATCTTACATTTTACATATGACTTGTTGGAAACTTGATTTATTTGGCCATCTCTCAGTCAGACATTGCTTATGTTATTCATTCTCGTCAGTCAAATCTTGACTGCTCCTCATTTACGTCATATTCATTAGATTTGGTATTGTACTCTATTGTTCTCTGTCTTCCACTCTTGAGCTTTCTGCGGTAGGACATCTTCTGATCAAAAGTCTATTACATATTTTTGTATTTTTCTTGGTGACTTCATTCTTTTTTGGAAGAGCAAAAATAAAAAAAATGTATTGCTCAGCCTATAGCCGAAGCTGAGTATTGAGCCATTGCTCAAATAATGGTTGAGATTTTACAGTTTCACTGGTTATTAGTAGACTTGAATGTGGAGCTCTCGCCATCCACTCCCTTATATTGTGGTAGCAAAAGTACAATTTATATTGATACGAACCTAGAGTTCATAAGCGCACCAAGCATATTAAAGTATGTTTGTATTTTGTTCAACAAAAATATTTAGCTAGGACAATCTCTTTTCTATACGCTCTAGGACTTCATCAAATAAATGGTGAATATATATTTAATGGCTCAAGGAATTCAAAAATCAAAATATTCATGTAGCCTCTAAGTTAAGCGGAAGGCGAGGAGTTCCTATTGAAAGAGGATAAGCCAAAGTGTTGAATGACAGGCCCAGTTTGGATGAACCATTTATTTAAAAAAACTTTGCCTTTTTGTCAGTGAAGGCGATGTAAGCCTGCTTAGTTCTTCTTTTTTCTCCCTTTAGGCACTTCCTTCGGTTACAGTTGAGACTGCAAGCTGGAAATAGGCGTATTACCATATGCAGTTACTAGTTCACCCTCCCAAATTCCATCTTAACAAATGAAATTTTGAATCCAGAATTTCATAGGTCCATTATCTAGAACATAGCGGTCATGGAAAAAAAAAAATTTGATTTAAGCCTTAAAAATGATCTATTTTACGCTCTCTCTCTAAGCCCTTAATTTTATTTCTTCACAAAAAATTAGCACTGAAATATTTTTGGAGTTATAAATTCACAGATTGTCGCAAAATGGCTTTACAATGACAGGTGATATGTTTGGTGTTCTAATCCATAGAAAACTAGGACAGAGACAGGTCACCAATTACTTTTCTTAATTTCACATGCCTTCATGATCTAGAATCGACATTGTGACTCAAAAGTGGCAAGATCCAAGCTTCACACACATGCGACTTGGTGCCCTTGAAATGTCTATTTCCCCTTACATCTATTTCCTCCATATTGTTCATTTCCCCTTACATTTATCCACCTAGTTTTAGTACAAACTACAACGAGATTACAATTACCTCTAGTCATCAGATATGAAATCTGATAGAATTTTATTTTGAGCTTTGTACTCAATCAATCGCAATCAGCCAATTTCACATCTAATGATAAATAGTGCTTGTGACCTTCGTGTGCTAAAACTAAACAATCTTATTTTATACATTTTCACTGTTATATTCATCTGTACTTTGCACTGAGTACTAGCTAAATGGTGTAATTGATGAACGTGGATACTTTAATTGCTTTTTTATTTATCAATGAATCAAATGAACATGAATACTTCAATCAGAAGCTTGGTTCTACATTAAAGAGTTTTTCTTGGATAATCATGATATACACCATAGATATTAGAGGTACACTTTGTATTCTCAAATTGCCGTTAGGCTTGTATGAAAACCTTACACAAGGCAACACTGGTCCTCTTCTCATCCATATACTTAATCTGATTTTCTTAACACAAGTGCAAAATCCAATCTCTTGGGATAATCTATGAGAGGTACCTTGTTTAGTATCTCACTGTATTTTTCAAATAAATCATCAACAATCTCTTTTCCAAAATGGTGAATGATCATGACCTCAAGTCCTCCACGTTGGACCTTTGCCAAGTACCTTCCGTGGTCGCCAATGTCAGGTGGGAGCCAATCTTGTAAGCAGCGCTCGAACGGCTCAAATCGCTCAATTGTGAAGGATTGTTCTCTGTCTATCAGTTCTCGAACTTCATCCTCGCATGGATGATACCTAGGCATGTTGAAGGAATCCAATTTCCCCTCATCTACAACTCCCTGTATACAATTATATCAGTTGTTTATTTGAATCTTTGACAAGTTACTCCATGCATCGAATGCTTATTGATGCATTAATAATTTGCATAAATGAAATCAAAGTTCTCAAACACGCCTCTTTTCGATTACAAATGTTTTTAAGTATTTAAGACATCAGAGTACCTAAGGTTGTCCTGTTATCTGTTATTATTCAAAGAAACAAATGGGAAATCGTTGTTTACCTTCGATACCAGAAAGGCGAATGCCTCTGAAAGTTGCTCTGTATAAAAGGTATCTTCTTTCTCACAGGGATCTGAAGTCTTCCGACCCGCGAAGCTCAATACCATTCGACCGTCTGATACCATTTCCTTCGATCGCAATTTCAAAAACAATGAGAAGTCCTTTTGGAATTGGTGAAGGTAGGCTTGGGGAACAGAAGAAGGGCTGCTTTGAGATACGTGTGTCTTCCCCTTGTTCAGGGGCAAACCTGCTTTGTCATTGAGACCTTCAGGAACCTGCAAAAGCCTCAAGGCTAGAGATTTCTGCTAGATTTCCCAAGAAAGAAACGTCGCATATAGTGGCTACTCCATTAAAAAACACCTGTTACTTGGACATCACGAGTGCTTTTCATTTTTGTCATCACCCTCGTTATTACCATAACACAACAGAGAGGAGTCGTTAAAGTTATAATGGTGAAGATCATGTTTTTTACAAGTATTAAAAAGGGGACATACAGATAGTATACCTTGGAGAGCCAATGGAGACCATGAGAAGAGTGAACCAAGTGCAAACTATTTGCAGGAAGAATCCTTTGGTAAAAAGAACCTGGAACACCAGCCACAAAGCATGACTCTAAAGCCTCTTCTTTCTCTCTGATCGACTCAAGGAAAGAAGGAAATGCCTTAAAAACCGAATTGAAATCATTTCCCCACAAGTCATTCAGGTAGATCCGGAGCTCTGGTAGTGGCTTCGATTCTTTTCGGAAAATGTGACACACAGCACCAACGATGGTGATTAAAGCGGAGAAGGTGTTGGGTCCTGAGGCACAACCCAAATCAGCTATGCCAATGCTCTCAGGGTAATTGGTTGATAACATATTCATCACTGCCTCTTCAATGATGGAGTTCATTTTGTTCAAGGTATTGCCCTGCGGCAAAAATTAGGAAAAAGAAAGAAAGAAGAGGAATTAAGAACATGGTTCATGGATCAAGAGTTTAAATGATCCCTCCAAACCAGAAAAAGAACAGAAAATGGTGAACAAAGCTGCAGTTCAGTGTTCAGATGAAAGACCTGAAACTCTGAATTGTCCGCATAGCTATATGTTCCTTCTCCCTTCATGTGAAGAACCTTTTCCACGTCCATTGCAACTTTCTCTCGCCAAAATCTACTCTCTCCTCACTCGATCAATTGTTGGTGCTTACTCTTTATAAACATGGGAACACCACTCTTGAAGAAATGAGCAAATTCTTGTATTCATAACTAATTCTAAATAATCCAAATTTGATAAACAAAAATACCACTGATGTGCAAAAGAAAAGGAGATACCATCTTAGCCTCACATCTAAATCCTATCAAATGAAATTTTTATTTTTGTTTGTTTTGGGGTGTTATCAATGTATAGGAACTTTCGAGGTATTTTCCCTTATTAGTGCTGAAAAATCGACCACTGATGTGTGTAACGAGACACCACAAGCTGTAGCTGTCTCACTCCAGAGTCAATATCGGCAACTTATTTTAGAACAAATTAGGATATAGGAAATGCAAAAACAGATAAAGAGATTATGTTTGGGCCTTCATAGGTATAGGAAATTAGGGTTTTCTGATTTGGAAATATTTTTTCTTAGTTTTTTTTTTTTTTTAAAATAAATTAGAAGATCCCATTAAAATATTTATCAAAAAAATTTGTATAAAAAGATAGGATACTAAGATTGATGGTTTTTATTTTTTTTACATGTATGGTTTTAACTTTGAATTTTTAACATTGTAACTTGCACAACTAAAATTTGTAAAAGGCTAAAGCCTTAAAAGGTAAACCGGTCTTCTTATACCGGTGAACCGTTCCGTTTTAGCCAGTCCAACTGAACCAATGCTACTACTGGTTTGGTCCTGACAATGTTGTTGCAAAAATTAGACAGCTCCTGTGCAGTCTTGAGATGTCATTTTTTTTATGCACATAGAGAGTGAGAAATCTTTTTTTTATTATTACTTACCTATGAATTGGGTTACTGAGTTATAGAGATAACAACCCCAAAATTCAAACCCCAAAATTCAAAATTCAAAAAGCATGTCCCGGAGGATGAATTTTGTCTGAGGGAATAGATAGAAAGCATACTCATGCGGGTGTATAAAATCTTTTGGCTTCAAATAAACTGGTCTAAATAGGTGAAAGACTAGCAGGAGCAGATCAGGACCAGTGACTTGTGACGTGTTGAGTCAAGACTCATGACTTTATGGACAATGAATCGATCGTTGTATTTTTCTTTAGGGTGCATTTGACAAAATGCGACTTACATATTCAACTTTTTAGAAATTTGAATCAAAACGTTGATTTGTATTCTTGGATTTTATAATGTCTTACTATTTATTTTTTCTATGCACATTTTACTGTCTACCTATAATTTATATGATCATTAAAGTTCATGACATGCACCTCTTAAAAAATTTAGGGAAAATATTAAATAGAACCCTAATTCCTCATATTATTTCATGGTAGACCCTCTTTCTATTTTTTTTTTCAAACGGCATAAAGAAACGCCTAAAAATTTCACCATACCCCCTCATCTCATATATCTCTCTTTTATTGAGTTTTGACCATAAAAATTATCCCTAACAAATTTTTTTATACCATGTCAACTCAAAAATTTTGTTAACCCTCTTTTTTTCTTTTTCCCCATTAAAAAAGTTTTTGGATTGAAATGATATAAAAAGATTTTTTGGAGTTAATTTTTATGATCAAAACTCAATAAAAAAGGGAGATTAGATGAGGGGATGTGGTGAAATCTTTAGGAATTTACTTATGCCGCCTGAAAGAAAAACAAAAAGAGGGTCTACCATGAAATAATATGAAAAAATAGAGTTCTTTACGAAATCTTTCCCAAAATTTATATATTACCATTCTCTATAAACCAATGGTTTAAAAAACGGATCGGTGACCCGGATCAGGCTTCCAAAAAACAGATCCGGATCGGCGAATCGATTATCCGGATCGGGAATCGGTCAAAATAAAGCTTAAAAAAAATCCAAAAAAATTATTAAAATTCATTATAAATATTGTTTTTTAGGAATTCAATAAGAAATGAGGGTACTCCATTAAGAATTTTCATGTTTTTGAATGAATATGCGAATATTGATATGTTCTTTCCCTGCATGAACCGCCATTCAGCATTTAATTTACATCACACAAAAGGATAAACATATAATTATCATGGAATAAGTATATCAACATACATGGACTACAATAAAGCATAAAATTAGTAACATATGATTTAAAAATAAAATGATAGACGATGTTATTGTTCTTCTTGGTCACGCTGGTGCCATTGATTGAATTCGTTTAACAATTCATTGATTCGATCTAAAAACGAATCATCGATATTAGTAGGCGTCTGACTATTTCCAAATCCCTGAGTGTTAGTGTTTTGTTGTGTTCCCAATCTAAAATCCCCGAAGATTGTCCATCCTTCATGCTCACCTGCACTGTCGTGCTCATCCCTACACTGTTGCTGTTGAGACTCGATATGTGAATAATATGGCTGGGATAGGGTGGCCTCAGAATCATCATCTCTCTCATTTTCTCTTTGAATAATATGGAATTAAAAAAAAAAAAAACAAATTTTCAAAAAAATCGATCATAGATTAAAAAAAAATCACAAATTTTCAAAAAATTCTATCATGGATTACAAAAAAAATTCGATCATGGATTAAAAAAAAAAATCACAAATTTTCCAAAAATTCTATCATGGATTACAAAAAAAATTCGATCATGGATTAAAAAAAAAAAATCACAAATTTTCAAAAAATTCAATCATGGATTACAAAAAATTCGATCATGGATTACATAAAATTCGATC